GACTGTCTGGTCGTAAAAGGGCAGTTTAGGCACTATAACCACTACAGCATGCTCTCTCTATTTATATATAGTTTTAAAAAATCATACATACAAGGCTCGGACAACACCCGAAAAGTGGTAGACATTTTACAGACGATACACATGGACCAGACTCAAGGACTCATAATCTCACTGGATGCGGAAAAAGCCTTCGACAGACTGAATTGGCTATTCCTGGAGGCTACCCTTACTAAATTTGGATTTCCCCCCACATTCCTAACAGCTATTAAAGCCCTATACAGTTCCCCAAGCGCAGCGGTATCGACGTCAGGGTTCCAATCGGAACCATTTGACATCACAAATGGTACCAGACAAGGCTGCCCCTTATCGCCTCTCCTATACGTACTGGTCCTTGAACCACTTGCGGAATCTATCAGACACAACCCAAACATACATGGTATAAACATAGGAGACAGAGAATACAAGATTAACCTCTTCGTGGACAAAGTCCTACTAACACTATCCCAACCGTTGATTTCGCTCCCGAACCGCAAAAAAGAACTCCAGCACTACAGTACACACTCATACTATAAAATCAATACCTCCAAGACTCAAGCATTGGGGATAGGTATAGAAAGAGACACATTAGACAGACTTAAATCAGCATTCCGCTACGATTGGAGGGAGGACTACCTTACATTCCTGGGTATCAGACTTACAAAATCACACAACTCGCTCTTCTCCATGAATTACCAAAAACTTCACACGGAAATAGAGAACACACTAAAGTCATGGGAGGGGAAGTACCTATCATGGGTGGGCAGACGCGCAGCCGTCAAAATGATGATTCTGCCAAAAATCCTATACCTGTTCAGATCACTGCAAATTCAGGTCCCCACTAGATACCTCAAAACACTGCAGACAACATTACTCAAATTTGGTTGGCTAAACAAAAAACCCAGGGTGACCTGGAAACTCCTATCTAGAACAGTAGAGGACGGAGGCGTGGGGTTCCCCGATATGAAAGAATACCACAGAGCTACGCACCTAGCTAATGTCTTAGGATGCCACCAAACGGCCCAACCCCCTCAGTGGCTAGCACTGGAATCCAGCAAACTAGAAGGGTCCCATCTAACTCATCTCTTATGGGCACCCAGAGACATGAGACCCCGTACTCCAAAGATGCTGCCGACCACCAAGATAATGCTATCCATATGGGAAAAAAAATAGGCACAGGAAATGCTCAAAACAAAAGTGGTCCCCGGCAACCCCCTTGAAAATGCTACACTCTCTGAACCCCTCGTTTAACTATAAATTATGGGCAGAACACAACATAACCCATCTACACCAAGTGACCCACAAAGGCTCCATTAAGAGCTTCCAAGACTTAAAAACACAATTCCAGGTACCAAACAAGGCCAAATTCTCCTATATACAACTATACCACACTCTGTGACCAGAGGGCACATACACACAGAAGGGAAACGGTGAGACGAGACTGACCCACTTTGAAACTAAATGCCTAGACACAAGACAATTGAGTAAAACTCTATCTATATGCTATAACCTACTAATAAGAGAACCACAAGCGAGGCTCTGGAGATTTCAGAGAGAGTGGAATAGAGATATAGGAAGGGACCTCACACCTCAAGAATGGAGCTCGGCATTCACAGCCCATAAGGGAACAACCAGGTGTGCATCCCACCAAGAAACCGCTAGAAAGGTATTATACCGATGGTACCTCACGCCAGATAGACTCACAAGAATGTATAATAACATAGAAAACATATGTTGGAGGTGCAAGGGACCAAAAGGGGATATGCTGCACATATGATGGAGCTGCCCGCAGATACAGCCGGTATGGGAGTTGGTGGGCGACATTATAAAGCAAAGCACAGGAATGGTTGTTACACCCTCTATAGAAACGTACCTTCTGCACATATTCCCAAAACACCTCCCGAAACACATACACAAAACAATATATCTTACAATCATGGCAACAATGACTATCATAGCAAGAAATTGGAGATCGACAACAGTTCCCACTAAACTGGAAATATTGAACCTTGTATCCACAAACGTGGCATATGAAAAATTCACAGGACCACAGGGTCAAAAGAGCCGTATAAGTGCGGACTCATACACCTTATGGCACAATTATATAGCCAAATCCCACACAAGAGATCAGAATAGCAACCATGACCCCCCTTAATGGCAGGGAAACACACAAAAACCAGAAGAAAGTGGCACAGACGTGGGGCAAACAGACGACCAAGACAAGACCCCAAACAGAGAGACAAAGAAGGCCGCAAATGGCCCAAGGGACAAGCCCCCATAGAGCATACACCACTAGAGACCTGGACACACAGATTTAGGAACCATAGGATGTAAATAACACATGTAAATAGTTTTCATTGTTTTACCATTTGTATATACCATACATACAACCCTACTTCAGGGGACATATAGATACAATGTGCCCAGGCGCCTAAGATTAGACCTAAGAAGATACTGAAAATACTGAAAACATGGTCGAATGGTTAAGATGTAAAAATTGCAGGCAAGTCGGATATGTAAACAATGTAAAAAAAAAAAAAAACTGCAAAGTTATTCACGCCCCCCTTTTTTTCTTCATTCTGTATCCCTTGAAATAATTATTTTGCTACAAACAGAAAATAAAAACTGTTAATTATAAAAAAAAAATCATACATACAACAGGTGGAGCATCCATGGCTTATCTCTGTAGAGAAATAAGGGAGTACAAGATAATCTGTACAATGTTATATTTATCTAATATCAATGATATTACTCACAAACATGGAGCCAAATCCAAACATATGGCTCTCATGTGAAGTGCAGTGGGGCTCTTATAGGATGTCCAAATCCTCCCTTTGTCTGTTCCTTATTAGGTCTAGTAGATGCTGTAGGTAGCAATAGACGTGGAGGCTTTTCTTTTCAGAGAAGATCCTTTATTTCATATAAGATTAAAATTCTAAGTATAAAATGCAGTAAAATTAATTGTGGATTCGTTGTAAAAAGTCCAACGAGTCTATGGCTTATGCCTAAAATGTCCAAAATGCGTTTCGCCTTATGGAAGGTTTCTTCCGGAACCCCTGTTCTATCAAATTCCCCTACCTCGTGAAAATCCCCTACCCTCGTCACTTCCGGTGGGGGGAATCAGCTGGATCCTGTGCTGCACATGCATGCTAGCACTCCTGCTACTCCTCCACAGCAAGGTCCTGGAAGTTAAGTAAAACTAGTTTTACATTTTCATTATAGTTAGTGCATTCACTAAGCTTAGGCACATGGGACATTTAGGGTTAAGTTAGGTTTCAAATTAGGGTTATGTGAGTTATTTTAACCTCTCTGACACTCTATTCTTACCCTAACCCTTGGGGTAAGGGTTAAAATAAAGTGTGAGAAATCACTATTTAGTGATAATCCCCTAATGTGAAATATCACTAAATATAAGTCCCTAATCCTAACCCTAATTTGAAAGTGTAAAACTAGTTTTACTTACCTTCCAGGACCTTGCTGTGGAAGAGTAGCAGGGGTGCTAGCACGCATGTGCAGCACAGGATCCAGCTGATTCCCCTCACCGGAAGTGACGAGGGTAAGGGATTTTCATGGGTAGGGAAATTTGACAGAACACCAGTCCTTTCTGTTTGGAAGGTATCGTGCGTTCCACTTCGTGTGAACTTCCTGGTCGCGCCTCATACGTCACTGGAACACATGGCACATGTTGATGCGTTCCACCGCCGTGATGCACATACATGGGGCTGTATCTATTTCTCCACAACGATATTGGATAAAGTCTGTATCATATAGCTGTATCCTATAACTGTATATTCTATTATTGTTATTATATACGGTATTATAGTTTACCATTATTCCGTACCAGCAGGACTCTTCACACCATAATCACTACACCACACTAGTGGTTATGGTGCTTAGAATATCCATTTAATAAATTAGTGTTTAGATATGGTAGAACATTTGAAGGGAATAGTGACATATCAATGTTTTACATACAACAATGAGAAGACACTGGCAGTTAGGAATTCCTGAGTGTAACACATCCAAGGTATACATTCCCTCATAGACACAACAGCAGAAAGGACGCATGCAGAAATGTAGTCCAAGGCAAAATTATTGGAGAAGAAAAATCACAATATTTCAGCTTGGTAAAGTGTAAGCAGAAACATAATTTTGTTTTTCCAATAAATATGCCTTGGACTACATTGCTGACTTTGTGCACAGTCATTTCTACTGTTACAATAATGTTTTACATAAGATTTCTCATCTTATGCACAATAATCAACCAGTCCAGGGAAAATCGATTAAAACTTCACTGGCTGTCTGCAAAAAGTGGTTCTTTCACAGGACTGAGTAACAGTAAAAAAACAAAAACATTCCTGCAATTGTAACACAAGGGTTCCCTCCTCTGGATCACATGTGCATAACACATAGCATTTTATAGTAGTTATAAAATTAAATTCACATGATTGCCCCATTTTCTGCTAAATAAAATATAATAAAAAAAACAAACATAAATCTCATATGTAAAATTTTTGTTTTAGACATAAAATGGACATCATATGCTTCAACTGGTATTGCCCAAATTTCCATGGTTTTGTCAGAACCTGCATACCACCATGACCTACACAGAGAACTAAATGTACAAATCTTTGACAAGCCAATAGGAAGAACGGTGTTTTGAATGGTGCATTTAATGTTTAATGCAGTCTTTTGTTTTTTGTTCAAGTTTATTTGAATTTGTCCTACCAACAAAGAAGGTGTACAAACAGCACTTGTGTAGGAAACGGAAAGGTACAATAATAACAGGGAGTACCTGGAAAAAAAAAAGCAATAGAAGTTTGTAGGGTTCTAGAGAGGGTGTATCTTAACACCTTAAGTATGATGATAAATGTGTGACTAAAAGATAACCTAGAATTTGTGCTTTGTGTTTTTTTGTTGTAATTCAGTCAATACTTTATTTTGTTGTGCCACGACAGCAACGACAAGCCTGGTAATACAAACAGTTGATTCTGTACATAGCATGCGATAATTCTGCACATTTTTAAAGTAGACAGTGAACAGGCTAAACAAACATAGCTAGGTCAGGTTGCTAACAAGAGATAGGTGCCTATTGTAGATCGACATGCGAAGATTAAACATACCATTAATGATCAAGCTTTTTATGTTGTAAGGCAAGCTGGGTTATACAGGCTAGGTTTAGCTTTGCATGGGATTGAGAAGTGGGCGTTTGTTGCATTCGTTACTCAAGAAACATAGACAGTGCACTTATAGAAATTTAAGAGGAGTGGACAACATTGTGGGAGCATATTGCATACTCGCTACAGTGTAAGGAGTCGTACATGTTAACCATTATACAGTGTATTGCTTAGTAAAAAGAGTGGCACGAAGGACTAATTTGATATGTTGGATTACAGCTGTGTACATTGAGCCATTTATATGTGGGAGAGCGGGTGCAGGGTTTAAGTAGCTTGTGTGATAGTTAAGTTCTGTGCGCCAGATAGAGTAAAATAATAATAAAAGAGGGGGGGTGCACCCGAGCATAAGGGGGCCTGAGGGATAGGGCCCTACGTGAAGATCCCTGACTGAGTCCTCTCATGGATCCCAGGGACCTTGGTCCATGCACGTGCGGCCGGGTTGTATGTGAAAAAAAAAAAATATATAAAAAATGGGTAAATGAATAAAAATGTGAGTAAATAATGTTGGGGGGGATAATTACGTGAGGATAGCTGGCTGCTTGAGGTGGAAGCTATCGCTGCTTAGAAGTGTGTCTCGTGCCTCCCCTCATGCCTTTGTTCCCAGATGAGACTTAGAGGTAGCGTAGAGCCTATAAATGGCAATGCTCAGTGCAACAGTAACTAGCACCCGGGTGCGCCAACATATGCAGTGTCGCCCTAAGGTCATAAGAGCAACTTTGGTGCAGGCAGTAAACATAGGTCTTTAACATTCGCAAAGCTCAGGTATTAGTTGCAGCTTGTCTATGTAAAAGCTAAATCATATAAAGTTTGTAATTATTTCCGTATGGTGAGAGGCAGTCGTTATGCACGTAGGGGCAAGAATTTAAAGTTAGCCCACACAGAGGCGCTTTATCTCGGCGTACAGCCACCATCTAAATGTTTAGCTTTGCGTGTGTGCGCCAGTGTGTGGAACTAGTGTGTGCGCTAGTGTATGGAACTGCATTGGGAACTGTACTCGTCGTTTACTGCTAGCATTCATCTGAGTCTGTGAGCTGTTTAACCCTTAACTATGCGACCCGTTAATGTAGTAATATGCTAATAAGAAAAGCTTATGGTAGTAAATTAAAAACATAGTGTTAAGTCCTTGCTGCCTAGTCAGATGCTCCACAATCTATATTACCTTGCATATTTATGACTGAAAAGAGCATATAAACAAACACATTACATTATGTACGTTATAACCGCCTAGTCTATTATAGTTCTGACTTGTGGAGTTAGAGAATGCTTATGATTTGAGGGCAACTAGCAGTAGTGCATAAGCTTAACTGAGTGACCGAGCGTTCCCTAAATTCTTTAAGTACATGGATATATATGCTAACTAACAATAGAGTAGATGCAAAGATAAAAATGAAAAATGTGAACTGTAAACTGCAGGGTGGCCATGTTAGGCTACATGGTCGTCTGAGGGGAGTCTCTCATGGCACTGCTACCACACTGACCCCGGGCAGCCAGGTCTCCTTCCGTCCTCCCCATGCCGATCTCTGCTCACCGGTCGGGTCCCCCATGGCACCGTGGGCACTCAGGAGCGCAAACTGTCCACCGGACTCCACCACAAAGTCCACTGGTTGTCCGCTCCCTGCACCTCCCCAGCTCCACTTGAGTCCCTTGAAGTGTGCGTTCCAATGTCTCACCCGGTGCCGGCCACACATTTGGAGTCGATGCCCATCCCCCACGACCACCGGTCCGTCGGGGGGGTAGTGCGGTTCCACCCCACAGGGCTCACGGCTTCGGGGACAGGTCTCTCCGGGGACCCCACAAACCCAGAGGCTTGGGCGCCCACTCCCCAGCGGTCAGTGGCACAGCATGGAAGATCCGTCCAGTGCTCGGCCTTACCAGGGCCCGTGTGGGCCGCCCATGCTAGACCCCTTTGGTGTCTGGAGTGAGTCTTCGGGCGGGCTCTTTTCTTGTAGCCTTTACCCGTTCAGGTGGTCGGCTTGGGCCCCGCGCGGTTTCCTCCGCCCTGGAGGGTGCCGCTTCCATGTGGCCGGGGGCGGGGGGGGGAGCGGAGCCGGGCCGTCATCCGCAACTGTGTGGCCTCCATGTAGGCCTTATAGCTGGTATACTGTTATCTCTGGACTGCTGGTCAGTGATCTGTGCATCTTCAGGGATTGCCATCGTCCAGGCTTATGATGGCGAGTAGGCCGCTTCGTTGTTTTCGGTGTTCCCGGCCCAAAACCGGCCTCGGTGTGGCATCCCCCTGAAGCTTGGGTGTTTCTCGTTAAGTATATGTCGCTTATATCTGCTTTGGGGTGGTCTGAGTGTGGATTTATTGCAGTTTTCCGGGCTCAGGCCAGGAGCTATGGTGTTCTGCTGCCTTTCAGCTCGGCGGCCCGGCCCCGCCCCCTTGTGCTTTGTGTTTGTTCCACCGTAATTTAAGGATTTCTCTTTAAGAGAGTACTCCACTCTCCAAATTGGCAAAATAGTAGTAATTACTGTTTAGCAGATATACGCCCAACGTAACATGTATAGGTGATACTCGAAAAATGTGAATATCGCGCAAAAGTTCATTTATTTCAGTAATGCAACGTGAAAGGGGAAACTAATATATGAGATAGACGCATTACATGCAAAGCAAGATAGTTCAATCCATGATTTGTCATAAGTGTGATGATTATGGCTTACAGCTCATGAAAACCCCAAATCCACAATCTCAGTAAATTAGAATATTAAATGCAATCAATAAAACAGGGAGTGTACACAATATCGGACCTCTGAAAAGTATAAGCATGCATATGGACTCATTACTTTTTTTTGGGCCCCTTTTGCAGCAATTACTGCCTCAATGCGGTGTGGCATGGAAGCTATCAGCCTGTGGCACTGCTGAGGTGTTATGGAAGACGAGGATGCTTCAATAGCGACCTTCAACTCTTCTGCATTGTTTGGTCTCTCATCCTTCTCTTGGCAATGCCCCATAGATTCTCTATGGGGTTCAGGTAAGGCGAGTTTGCTGGCCAATCAAGCACAGTAATCCCACGGTCATTGAACCAGGCTTTGGTACTTTTGGTAGTGTGGGCAGGTGCCAAGTCCTGCTGAAAATGAAGTAAGCATCCCCACAAAGCTCTTCTGCGGAAGGAAGCATGAAGTGCTCCAAAATCTCCTGGTAGATGGCTTCGTTGACCCAGGACTTAATGAAGCACAGTGGACCAACACCAGCAGATAACATGGCTCCCCAAATCAACACAGACTGTGGAAATGTCACACTGGACTTCAAGCATCTTGCAGTGTGTGCCTCTCCATTCTTCCTCCAGACTCTGGGTCCTTGGTTTCCAAATGAGATGCAAAAGTTGCTCTCATCAGAAAAGAGGACTTTGGACCACTGAGCAACAGACCGGGTCTGTTTTTCTTTAGCCCAGGTAAGACGCTACTGACATTGTTTGTTGTTCAGGAGCGGCTTGACAAGAGGAATATAACATCCGAAGCCCATGTCCAGGATGCGTCTGTGTGTGGTGGCTCTTGATGCACTGACTCCAGCCTCAATCCACTCCTTGTGAAAGTCCCCAACACTTTTGAATGGCCTTTTCCTGACAATCCTCTCCAGGCTGCGGTCATCCCTGCTTCTTGTGCATCTTTTTCTTCCACACTTTTCCCTTCCACATTACTTTCTATTAATGTGCTTTGATACAGCACTTTGGGAACATCCAACTTTCTTCACAATTACCTTTTGAGGCTTTCCCTCCTTATGGAGGGTGTCAATGATGGTTTTCTGCACAACTGTCAGGTCAGCAGTCTTCCCCATTATTGTGATTCCTACTGAACCAGACTGAGAGACCATTTAAAGGCTCACAAACCCTTTGCAGGTGTTATGGCTTACTTAGCTGATTAGAGTGGGACACTGTGAGCCTAGAATATTTCACCTTTTCACAATATTCTAATTTACTGAGATTGCAGATTTGGGTTTTTCATGAGCTGGTTATCTTTTACTCTTTACACATAAATGGGTGTCACGGCTGCTAGTGTGGTCCAACACGCAGAAACTATGTAAACATATACATACAAAAGGAAAGGAAATAAAAGGACAGAGCGTAAACCGGACCTTAGAATGGCCGGACTAATACGCTAGAGATAGAGAATGGTCAAAGGGAAAGCCGAGGTCAAGGAAGCCAGAAAAACTCAGATACCGTTTAAACAAGCCAAGTCAGGGGAACCAGAATTCTGAATAAATAGCGAAAAGCCCAGATCAGGATACCAGGAAGTAATATTCACAAAGATAAACGCACTCTAGGGAACCAGGACCAGCAAACCACGATAGGGCAAGGTACTGGGATGAATTAGGGATTTAAATATCCCTCTCTAGGCTCTGATTGGTCAGAGGGTGACCTCTGACCCCAGAACGGGCGCATGCGTTGACGTCATGATGTCACGCACGCGTTCATATAATTTTGGGGGGTGGAGCCATGGATGGACGCGCCATCTTGGATTTAACGGTTCCCGGCTCGCCACTGAGCAGGTAAGCTCAGTGAGTTGGTGCGGTCCTGCCGGTCGGGCACGGACTCACATGGCGGCAAGCCGGGGGCCGTGACAATGGGATACTCCTCACTCAGCAAGCTGAAGTGCTTTATGGGTGTGGAATGCCTCTATGAAAATTAAAATATGAAATTGTTAAAGGGACACTCTAAGCATAAAAATAACTTTAGTGTAGATCATGCCATGCAGTCTTACTGCTCTGCCATTTAGGAGTTAATTTTTTTTATGCAGTCCTAACCACACTTCCCCTGGCTGTGATTCACACAGCTTCTCTACACACTTCTTACAGAATATGTAGTTTTAAGGTTCCCCTTATTACACTGTGGGCTTAATTTAGAAGTTCTCATCCCCTAATCAGTTAATTGCCTGCTAGAGCCTACAGCAGCCTCATGAGTGTGATTAACCCCTTAAGGACTGAGCCAAATGTACACGTTGTGATCAAAACAAAACGTAAACAAAAACTTGAATTTGCGCTATATGAACGTAAATCGCCTCTTTCATATTATGTGCAACCAAACTTATTATATATCATTCAGGAGAAACAGGGCTTTCATTAAACATAAAATATTTAGGTATGAAACCTAATTTTATATGAATAAAATATAAAAAATGGGAAAAAATAAGAATTAAAAAAAGAAAATTAGTTCTACTTGACATTTTAACTGTGAGCGTCAAAATACTGTTTGCTTTTACTGCAATAAAATACACATATTTGTATTCAGCGATGTCTCACGTGTAAAACAGTACTCCCTATGTACAGGTTTTATGGTGTTTTGGGAAGTTACAGGGTCATAAGTAGGAAATGTAACATATGTATGAAATGGAAAAATTGCAACAAATTCATAGATGCAATTATTATTTCTGTGGAAAGTACTAAAAAGGAGATACAATCAAAAGTTTCTATTTGGACTGATGTGGGTCTGGAACACAAGGGGACACTTTTTGTTTCTATAGGTATGCCTTCCTCTCCACTGCATTGGGAAGACTGTAATTGGACAGACACAGGAAGTCTGGGTGGGGTTAGAATAAGAGGGCTTGTCAGGGCCGCATTAACATAGGGGCTGATGGAGCTGGAGCTTCAGGCCCATGCTATGGAATATGCCCATTGATTTTAAAAAATATATAAAAAATTTTTACTACTCTTCACATGCTGTTACTTAACTATGGAAACTTAAGAGGGATGTAGGGGAACAAAACTAGTGTGGACTGGCTGACAATAAAATTAGTTAAGGTAAAGCAGACTGCACACTATGCAAATGCTCTTCTGCTTCAGTCTCTCTAACACTGACATGTTCCATTTCTTCTACACTCATTACATACATATTTTCTCTGTCCCAGCCTATAAAACAGGAGCTTCTGCCTGCTAGTAAGAAGGTAAGGAGAGAAGTGGACAAGCTAGTGCTAGGAGACAGTCCATAGAAAGCGTAGAGCTAGCGCATCATTAGACGCATTTATGCAGAGCTCAGGGTGCTGTCTGCACAGTATGCCCTTGGTTGATCATCCTGTATGACTGGCAGACAGCCTGACGTGCATTAACGCCAAGCTGACCATCTAATTCTTCGTGCAGACACGCCCCCTTTTTGGGCATGTTTGTCCCTTTGGGCGGTTCTGGTTAAGTGATTCACATCAGTGGCCCACCCTTTTACCCTGCCCACCGAAATCCTGCTTCACCAGACAATGCTCCTAAGGAGTATGGGTTTACTTGAAAGATGAAAGCAAGAGATTAGCATCCTGTGAGTTTCCCCTCCAGCACCACCTCCACCAGATACATGACGCTTGGGAGGTATAACTGTTTTAATGTTTTCTGTCGATAAGATTCTCTAATTAAGCCTATCATAAATGTCAGCACCAATGGGCTCTTAATCCAGCTGTGGGGCTTGTAACGGCTCCACACAAGAGAACTGCAGGTTTTGCAAGCTGTTTTAGATAAACCCAATGAAAAATCACTGAGAGTAAATATCTTACTTGTCAGTCTACATTGCATCATGACAATAAAACAGTTGAAAACTAAATATTTTTGTAATGTGACATGCTGTAGATTTTTGTCTCATTTGGTTTTCTCTCGTTTTAGGATATCTTTTTCCTAAACTGGAAATTGGAACTTTTCTGTATATTTTCTATATTCCACATTGTAAATTTTAACTGTTTTACTGTATTTTCATTTATATTATACACTAACTCTTATCCAGGTTCATGTACTATCCACAAGACCCATGTGGGCGGATTAAATTCCAATCATAATTTAATCTTTTATCTTCAATTTTAATAAAAACATTTTTGCTTCAATGCAACAATGTATGAGTCTATATTCAAAACAAATTCAGCTGAACAAGGATTTCTCTTATCTTTAGTCCTTATCTGCACTAACTTTCGAACCCTCCTTGTTTAGCCATTTGCTGGCTTCACACCTACAGAATTATTAGCCTAATTATAATCAGTAATAAGTTGTGTCTTGTATCGATGATCTCTTGTTTATGATGTAACAACCACTGATTACATTACCTGTTATTGAATTTGTGATTGAGAATTGCAAGTACACTGGATGATTTGGCAAAATTGAATTAATTTAATTAATATTTAATGATACCCACATCTTCTTCCCAGGAAATTCCATGACCTCATTTCATGCTTAGCCCTTTGATTCTTGTCGAATTATCACACAAACCAAACATGTATCCCTCATTATTGGACCATTTCCATTTTCTACATCCGAAACATTTCATTCATATGGCTGCTCAGCACAAAAGCATGAGCAATTTTTTTTGTGACCTGATGGCCTAAATATATTAAAACTATTATTTGTTAAATGTGCTGCAAGATTCTTGGGGCAGATGAAGAGCTCCCATTTGTGTGCACTGCGGGAACAGCATCTGCAATGTAAATAAATAAATAACTTGACAATAAATAAATAAATAAGCTTACTGTAGTAAAAGGTTCATATATGTTACATCAGTTTGTGATGTTGGGTTTATTGGTCTTACACTAGCATAAAAAACAAAGTTACTTGCACACTATCCCAAATCCCTATTCACATTTAAATAAGAAAAAAACTTTTTTTTAGTTTTTTTTAGTATCACTCCAATGGCCATTGAAGTGTAAGGTCACTTGCCACATCAAGGCAAAACGTCTGTGTCTCATTAGAGATTGTTTTGCAACAGCAAGGTGAATTGTTAGTGTAGGACTCACCTAAAAGGTGATTTGGGATAGTGCGCAAGTTACTTTTTGTCAGGATTACTAGTTGATCTAGCACGCAGAAATAGTATCACACCCAGGACCTAGGCCTAAGGATAACATCTAACCGGACCTTAGAATGGCCGGACTTAACGTACCCAAAAATAGTCAAAATACTTGCAGAGGTCAGGAATAGAGAATGAGACACAATGATGAGGGAAAGCCAGAAGTCAAGGATACCAGAAATCAGTGAAGTCAAAATGAAGCGAAAGTCAAAAAAACGAATAATACGATCAGGAACGCACTCTCGGATAACCAGCAAAGGGAAACCACGACAGGGCACTGACAGGAAGGTAATTTGGGTTTAAATACCACTCCTTTGGCTGTAATTGGCTGCCTCCAGCCTCTGACCCAAAAACGTGCATGCGCGTCTCTGACGTGACGTCGCACGCACGTTGACGCCATCTTTGGTGTGGGCGATGGTAAGTTTATTACAAAAATCCGAACAGCACTCCTAAGAGCGTCGCACCTGCTGGGGACCGGACAGGAGGGAGGTCGGGCAGTGATCTGCTGCAAACAAGGTAAGTAAAATTAGTTTCTGTCGGCGTGGGAGCCGTGACACTTTTTTCTTTGGTTTTTATTGTATGTATTAGGGCTGACTGACCACTCGGGCACATCGCTTATGGACTGAGGGCCCAAGACAGCCAGGGGCCCAGACGCACAGCCATGCTCCAGCTGGAGAGATTAAAGATCTCTCCAACTAGAACGGCAAAAAAAAATAATCTCCCATTGATAGGTTGTGGGGCCCCTGATGGAGCGCAGGGCCCCAGAACCTACCGCTCTGAACCTTACGCCCTCATCCTAAAATGAGACCTGGCAGCTTCACCTGCTCTCTGCCAGGTCTCCTTCTTCCTGTCCCACGAGGTGCTAGGAAGTGAAATCACTTCCTGCTTCCTCCTCTCACACAGAGCCCTCTCACAGCCAGCGAGGGGAAGGAGCAGCAGCAAGGGATAGACCAGAGGGAGCAGAAAGAGAGGTAGGAAATAAGGGGAAGACTCTGTCACTAGTCACCCCCTCCCTCACTCTGTCACTAGTCACCCCCTAACGCTGTCACTAGTCACAACCTCACTCTGTCACTAGTCACCCCCTTCACTGTATCACCCTCTCCCTCACTGTGTCACAAGTCACCCCC